GCCACTGGATGTTGGTTTGTTGCTATAAAATAAGATGTACTCTGGCTCTACAGCGAGATCTTACTGAAAACCTGGGCCATTTATGCAGTTTATATCAACAATTTTCAGGCATTTCCTTGACTTATGACATTGCAGCGGACGAAAAGTGAGGGGGGCCACCCATTAAAATATGTTGGGGTGGATGTGTCACCTTTTCCCATGATCTGAGCCCATGGGTGCATCAGAGTCCAGTTGGGGCTGGGTGCGACAATTTTTAGATGGACTTCTGGGTGACCAGAAATTGCACTCTCATACTTTAACATTACCAATAATCCATGTCAACAATATAATACAACAATTATTTTTCTTAATACAATTTAGGGGGGAGCGATCGCACCGTCTGTCCCCCAGCACGCTTTTTCGATGGCGTGCATTTCGATACTTGGAGTATGTATATCTTATCTGAGATTAATCAGTGGACCTTTTTTTTTTAATCGTAATTCGTAATTCAGCCTTTTTGGCTGCCATGTTTTATACTTTATTTATTTTATTTTATTTTTAAAATAAAATAACATTATATATAAGACTTATTTCCGGTGGGGTCCTTCTGGTGGTCTTTGTGCGGTACACCTGGAGACAATCCCCTACTCTTTTCCGAAGAGTGCACAACGTGCACATGGGCCATAAAAGTACACGGGACCAACGGCGTAAACGTCTCATCCGAAAGACGGTACGGTACGCTAATGTAACTTGTATTTCAGTCCTCCAGCTGAAACACAAGGAGAAGCAGCGATAGAATTGAACTGGGAACCTGGAAATCTCCACGGTTTATCGCACACACAGTGGCTAACACCAGATTACTCGACTGAGCGAAGCTGCTCTCTTCATGGTGGCCGAGATGGGTATGGATTCTATCTCCATGCGAACCTGAAATTTAGTGGCTGCCATTTGAAGGGTCGTAGCGGCTCTTCAGGTTGCCAGCATCAATTATTGTAAAAAAAGTTAACTAACCATGGCGACGTCATCTAGTTTTCTACACTAATTTAAGTGTATGGTCTTTGTCTAATTATTAAATTTATTCTCTCCCCCTCCCCCCACCCCCCCCCGAAAAAAAAAATCATGGTCAAGTAGTTAAAAATCACCTAGGCCTATAAATCACCTTATTTTGCGAATTAGCACCCCTCAACTGATCATCGAGCTCCCCACTTCACCTTCGCAACCCCATCAGCTCCCTCAATTCAAGACATCAGATACGCCACTGACTTACATGACCAGATGAGTGAAAATACTCAATCGATGTGCCACCAAATCGTAACCAGCCTTCACCATGCCCTCACGATGTCACCGGGGACGCAACTGCCAAAAAACTATTTTTGGTAGCGAAGAGATGCTACCAATAAACAATCAACAAACTACCAGGTTTCTGGGTTGATTTGCAAGGTACTACATGGCTCAACTATTTTTTACTTAGGGGTTAATTGGTAAAAATCGCACAAAAATCATACGACGTCACTAACAACGCCGGGGAAGGCAACTCGATTTTGAGATTAATTTTCCGAATAAAGTTATACTAAATAACGTCTAATGACGAACTATTGTGTTCAGTTGTCTTTGTTGGTTATTCAACTATCAATTTTTTCGGTGATATTACCATTCTCAACAACCTATAAAACACCCACATAACAACGTCACGTTAGGGGATGCCGTGGTGACGCCGGTAGGGTCAATTTTCGTCGGAAGGTACCAAGATGATAAACAGTTTCATTGGACTAAATTCTTGCTATGTTAACCACATGCATACCTAAGATTATACTGACACTGGTTTCAAATCACGGTCAAGTAGTTAAAAATCACCTAAAATCACCTTATTTTGCGAATTAGCGCCCCTCAACTGATCATCGAGGCCCCACTTCACCTTCGCCCCCCCCCCATCAGCCCCCATTTCAAGACATCTAGGTACGCCACTGCATGGTGGGGCTGGGTAGACATGCGCCCAACCCCGTGCGCTCTTACTATAATGCCCGGAACATTGCAAAATGCTTCGGCCGACGGCCCCATCCCCTTCCCCCTTTTAGAAAGTAAAAAAAAAGAAAGAAAAAGAAGGGATTGATCACCCAAAACGTTTCAGAAGTTATTTCTGGCCGTCTAGAAAACAAATATTATTCAGGGTATACTGGTACTACCGGTACCCCTTTATTGTTATCTCTCGATTCCCCCTCCCTTTCGGACATCTCGGATCTTCCCCTGCGTTTAATTTTAACTGTCTCACGGTTTCCAAATTTATTGAAAGATTGCACATAATCTCCATCATTTGACTTTTATTTATCTTCACAAAATGCTTTATCTTGTAAGCATGGGCGCGCAGATCATATTTTTTATATTTTTAAGGGGATTGGTCTCCCACTTCTCCCGTGCAACGTAATTTCATAAGTCAAGAGGATGCCTGAATTGTTGAAGTGAACTATGAATGACCCAGGTTTTAACGTAAGAGTGTACAGCCAGAGTAGGCCAACATATTATTTTATAGTATATCTAGTCTTAATATTTTTCAGCATCACATTTGAAATATTTTAGCATAGGCCTACACTATTGAAAATGTCACTATAATGATTAATTTCAATAATAATATATAACATTGAATTTGATTTTAGTTTTTAAATCCATGCATAGGGTGCTTTACTTTGTTTTAAATTTTCATATTGTATTTTAATAATTTTATGTATTTTTTAACGCTTTTATTTTTTCTTTAATCTCAATTTTAATTAGGCGTGTTTACCCTTTTGCTTTTCTGCATGTTGTGCCTTCTGTTCATTTTTAATATTAGAAAAAATATATACAGTATTTTCATATATTTTAACCACGCTTTCTGATTAATATTATGATGTTCTTTTAGCTTCATATTATTTACACAAAAATATACCGTATATATATATATATATATATATATATATATATATATATTATTTGTGTATGAATTTTATTTTATAAGTTAGATTTAACACAGAGAGATCCCTGAAAGTGAACTTGTTTTTACGTTTGAGCAATCTAATTGAGTTTTTTTAATGACGTTTTAAGATTTTGTTTTTAAATGTTGTATTTCTATCTTGTTATATTGTTTGTCTTTGTATTTTATGTTTTATTGACAAAATAATGATATGATATATATATAATATGATATAGGCCTAATACACGCGCGTGCCTTTATTATAATTTTTGAAGTATGAGAAAAAGCGTGTGAAAAAAGGATTGTTTTTTTTTGCACGTGGAGTAGGTAAAGTAAAGTAGATACATAAAAGACAATTAAGTTATATTTTTATGGTACATCAAAACGATTAATTAGATCCATGATCACACATTACAGTAATTAGATATCTATGGTTGCCGAAAAACCGCTGATAAAAGATGATGTTAATTTATTGGCGCTTCAATTTGACTATATAGCCTAATGATGATTTGATGATGATGAATTTCACTCTATATAAAATAGTGTAATTTTCAGACATTTAGAGGTACTATTTCCTCAACTCAGCCCCAACCATGTGGACTCACGGCTTTGATGTAGGTAAAGTAAAGTAAATACATCAAAGACAATGTTTAAGTTTTATTTTTTATGTTACACATATTAAGCACGGTAGATATCTATGCTACCGAAAATCGCTGATAAAGGATCTTAAGAAATTAATTGGTGCTTCATTTTGACTAAGCCTAGCCTAGGCCCTAAAAAGGTGATGGGGTGATGATGAATTTTACTATATAAAAGTGTCATTTCCGGCCACTGAGCGGTACTATTTACTCACGAAATATGCCACACCTTTTAAAACAGATCTGCGCCATTGCTTGTAGGCCTATATTATATATTTGACTGTTCAATTGTCCTCTGTATACTAGTCAGCTGCTCAAGCGAGCTGCAATAAGGCCGCAGTGCTGCAGCTGCTGCAGAGGTGACGGCGACGGCCG